ATATCAAAAATTGGACAAATAGCATTCCGAAATATTTTAATATATCCAAAAAATGTTTTTTAATCTTAGTTAAAATATAATTATAACGTATCAATTTAAATAAATAATAAACCCTCATAATTAATTTTAAACTTATGAAAAATGTTTTAATGTTTTACAAATTTTTTTAATGTTTCACAACTTTAATGTTTCATTAATATGTATATATTTTTTGCTTTGAGTCATTGATATAATAATTTTGTTTAAAATTAAATTTGAATTTCTATTTAACTTTATTTAAATTCATATATTTTAACATTTAGTATTGTACTATAAATTATTCCCAACTTTAAAATTTTGATTAAATCTTTAACAAGCATTAATCCTTAATTTCCTTAGATAAACATTAAATTTTAATTTTTCTAAACATTAATTTTAATTAAAAAATTTTTTTAGTGTTATCCAAATAATTTGATCAATAAGTAGTAAAATAAGGATTTTAAATAATATGGTTTTTTTGTTCATTTTTAGTTGGATTTTTCTCATAGTGACAAGAAGGTTGTATAATACTAAAATATAAAAATATTATTTTAATTCTTTTTTATAAACTAAATTATTTTTAATATATTCAAATTTTTAAATATTCAAAATTTTTTAACATATTCAAATATATATTTTTTATGTTTTGTAAAAAAGAATATATTTTTTTAAAAAAGATAAGTGTTTAAAAAAATAGACTGATAAATTTCCACCAATCTTCTTTCGAGATTGATGAGCTCTTGACTGTATTCCGTGAATGGATCGTTTAATATGTTAGTCCAGTAGATCGCTCTTTGTTTGATTATTGTGCATTGAGTCAAGTTATTAAAGGAGATTATCAAGAATATTTTCTTCCTTTTCTCATTGATTAACTTTGACATTAATATGTATATATTTTTTGCATCGAGTCATTGATATAATAATTTTGTTTAAAACAAAATTTAAATTAAATTTTTTTAGATTAATCTCGTTCAAATTATTTTTAAAATTTAGTAGTATATTATTAATTATTACTCTCAAAGGTCTTTTTTAAAGAAAAAAAATATGTTTCATTAGTTCAAATTATCAAAGGAGAATATAAAATTTATTACACTTAATTTTAATTTATTGATAAAATTGTTAATTCTGATTTAATTGCTTTATTATCATGATATTTTTTTCACATTAGCTTTAAAACCAACTAAAATTCACTTTTTACTTAATTATATTAATGATATATTTAAGATTCTTTTTATAAATATAATTAGCAATCAATCAAAATTATATTTTTTCAACTTTATTTTTGAAATTTAGTTTATACTTAAACTTTGTACTCAAACGTGATAATACAATCTATAGTTTTTTTAGAAAACAAATTTGTTACCGAATTTCTCAATTATTAGACCAATTAAAATTTTTTAGATCTTTCCATTTAACGTGTAGAATAAGTTTTCTTTTTAAATTATACAAAGAGTTTTATTCTTAATTTTTGAATAAATCTCATTATCTTGTAAAATCTCCGAAAAACCTGTCCGGTAGTATTTACGAAATTCATTTCCTTTTAAAATTTATTTTCTTTTTTATATTAAATCTATAAATAATTTTTTAGTAAATACATGTAAGTATTTCTAATACATAATAATATATTAATACATAATAAATACATATAACTATAATAGTATAATATTAACTGCTTTATACATACTTGTATTTATATTCATATTTATATAGTGCAAAAGAATTGTCGACGGCACATCTAAAACTTTCATAAAATTCCAGCCATTCTCGTCTAGTTACACCAAACTTTCTTATTTGTAGCTTCCTTACATAAAACTTCCTTATATATATTGTACTTTTATTTCATATTTTATTTTTCTAAATCGATTTTCGGATTAACTAATTTAAAAAATGTATAACAATTTTTTATTTAAATTATTTCATTATAAGTCATCAATTTCATTTATTTATTATTATAAAACAGAAGTTTATATGAAATAAGCGGCGCTGCAACATTCCCGAGGCAAACAAAAACAACAAAAATTTATTTATTTAAAAAATTTTTCTAATTAATTTTTAAATATGCTCATTTCAGTATCTTTGTGCGAACTCCGTTGTGATAAATTCGTTTTTACACCCTTCTCTGTGTAATATATTGGCACTATGCAAAGAAAACATGACTTTTGTGATATAGTTTGAAATTGTCGTTTATATCAACATTTACGATTGTTATTAAATAAAGCTTTATAAAATAAAAATAATAGTTAGAAATTAGAAAATTTAGACAATTATATATTTATTATTTAATTTAAAAAATATTTTTGTATTATTACTCGTAAGTATAATTTTTAAATTTCAATTACTATTTTTTAAATAATAAATAATGTTAATATTTCTTTGTAGAATTCACCGCTTTTTTATTATATATGTCAATTTAATATTCAAATAATTTTATATTATCTTATATTATCAAAAAAACAGTTTTCATACTTTTTTTAAATTTGAATTTGTTGCATTTGTTGCTGTACAGACTGTAGCGTTAATTAGTAACATTTTACATTCGTATATAATTAAATACATTTCTTATGATAATCAATTAAAATATACTTAAACCTTTCCATTATTTAAATATTAAAGCAATAAACACATTATAATATAAAACATCTTAATTTATTCAAAATCAAGAAGCTCTATAAATATTTTTTGTTGAAATTTTTTCGCCTCAGTGAGCATCACCAGACAAAATTTTCAGTTGGGAAATTATGCAATTTCTGTCACATACAATTAAAAATATAGAAGTCGAAGATGAAGACATTGATTAAATTTTAAGGTATTACATTACGTTTCTAGCTTTGGTAGTTATTTTTATAAAATTAAATAAAATTTTTATATAGAATTGCATCTTTTTTCAATTTTTAAATATTGTCTATGTTTAAAATGATTTTTACTAATTTATTAGCTAATATAGAATCTTATAAGATGTGCTTTCTATGATGTTATTAATACAAATGTAATTCGTTGTTAAAAATAATTTTTTTAAATATTAATCAAATGTTTTGATATATTAATTTTATATAATGGGACTCGTAATTTCAGCATTTTATTGAGTCAGTTGATTGTTGAAGATTTTTTAAAAAATAATTTTTTGAATTAAAGAATTTAATTTTTTATAGAAATTTCATTTTTTATAATTAAAAGTTTATTAAAATTTATTTTATTTTTAACTGATAAAAACTACAATTATTATGTGTATTTTAAAAATATTTACTGATAATAAGTGCAAAATTGTTAAAATTTGAAGTGTACATTATATAACAAAATTAAAAATTTATTTTATTCAATAAATAAAAAATTTATTGTAGTTTTTCTGTTAAAAACTTATTATACAAAATTAATCGATTTATCTCGAAAAAGTGAAAAAAAGAGAAGTTTTTATGTTTTTGATTCATCGTTATATGTTTTTGTTAAATTTATTATAAAGTTAAAGCTCGATATAAACATTTTGATCAACCAAAAGTTACATATGCTACATTTGTAATATCTCGGCCTCTTAAATTCTTTTATAAGAATATATCTATTAAAATTGTATAACTCTTTCTCTCATTTTGATTTATACCTTACTTAACTATTAAATTTCACTACTTGTAATTATTCTGTTTGATGGTCCAAATTGTTTAGAAGGGTATGTCCAATACTGAGTTCTCCAATTCTAATATTATATATTACTGCTTGTTTAATGCTGAATCAATTTATTTTATATTAATTAATTTCATTTAAAACAAGCATTATTTATTTATATTTCATGATTTAAATATTTTTTGCGTCGTGTCATTGAAACATAATTTAATTTAAATTTCTTTTTAAATACATACAAGTTTAAATTATTTTTAATGTTTGGTAGTATTCTATAAATTATTTCTACCGAAGGACTTTTTTAAAGAAAGATAATTTGCGTGTTAATTCAAGTGTTAAGGAAGAATATAAATTTTCTAAACACAATTTTAAACTATTGATAAATTTTGTTTAATTAAGATTTAATTATTTCATGATCATTAGAATTTTTTCTCATTACTATTTAAATCCGCCTAAATTTTCACTTTTTACTTTGGTTACATTATAAAAACATTTTCGATTCTTTTTAAAATAATTAAAAATCAATCTGTATATTTTTTTCGAGTTTATTTGAACTTATTTTTGAATTTATACTTAATCTTTATACTTAAACTTGAACAATAAAATCTATCATTTTTTAGACATTTTATTTATTTATTTATATTATTTATTTTAATTTTATTTTACACAAAATTTTTTAAATAATTTTATCCTGGCTCAATAGAGCATGGATTTTTATTTTGGTTTTTAAACTTAACTTACTTTTATAGTTCTTGCTAACAATTTGGTTTTGTCCCCACTTTCTTCCAAATTTGTTGTCGGGTTCCAATTAATTGGTTCCCGTTTTGTTGTTTGATATCTTACAATTTTTCATTTGTATTCTTTTAATATAATTACTCATAATAGTTTTTAATTGTTTCCATCATCTATTTTTATTTAACAAAATTTACCTTCTTTCACTACAAAAAATTAATAAATTTAATTTTCCCATTAAATATTTTATTTTTCGGGAATCCCTTCATATTTTTAAAATACATAGGTATTTATATAGTTATGCAGCAATTTAAGAATTTATTTTTATATACTTTAATAATCATCTCAAATAAATCATCTTTAAATAAAATATTATAATTTTCAAAATTTCTCAAAATGTTACTGGATACTCACATCTTTCATTAAAATATTATAGTTTATTCATGAATCTTATGAAGAATGGTGACATTTTCCTCTGATGACAAATAAAAGAAATTAATTTTATATAAAATAAAATTAATTTAATTTTTTATTTAATTAAATGTTTATTTATTTATTTCATCATTACATTCCATCACCACCATACCAAGATGTGGCCCCCACTATAGTATTGTTCCAATTTTAGTATATTGTGGTTATAATGTTTTTGTTGCTTTTATTTGATGTTTGGATATTTTTTATTTGACGTTTGTAATTTAGGCTTTTTGTATATTGTTCCAATTTTAGTATATTTCCCGCCTTCTAATTTCTTGCGACCTATAAATGTAGAGTTTATTTTCTTTTCCTCATTTCTCTTTTTCCTTTTTTTCTTGATTTTTTACAATTGTTCTTTGTGCCACTCATTTAAATTTGCATAGTGCAACAGAATTGTCCACGGCACATTTAAATCTTTCGTAAAATGCCAGCCATTCTCGTCTATTTACACCAAACTTCCTTATTTGTAGGTTAGAGTTGGTATAGAGAATTCCGCTTATTTTTACATTTATTAAAATGAAAAATTATTTTTAAATAAGCGGTGCAGCAACAGCGGATTCTGTTTATATTTATTTTCCAGAATTTCCAGAATACTTTTTATTAAATTTCAATTATCTAAACTTTTATATCAATTGTTATTTTTATGAATCAATTTAATAAAAATTTTCATATTAACTAATTTAAAAAAATTCATAAAAAAATTTTCATTTAATATATTTCATCGTAATTTGATCAATAAATTTTCAATTCAAAAATAAAATCCCATTCAATTTCACTCAAAATATAATTTTAATAAAAATTCTTTTGATAAAAATTTTATTTTTAACACATGTCCAATGCATTACTTTCATTAAACAACACTTTATTCTTAAATTAATTTAACTGTGTGCTCTTCCATTACAGTTCTTTCTAGTGCAAGTCCAGAATTGTGTTGTCGGTCAGCTGATAGGCCTTTTTCTCTAATATCTATTGCGTTTTTCTCAAGTAATTAAAATTATAAATTAATATTATTTAAATGCATTTGCTTGGGAGTTTAAATTAATTTAAACATAATTTACTTGCTAATTATTTTCAATACTTTATTAGTAATGGAAAAATTGTATTTTTAATTTATCTCCTTATTTTAACTTTATGGAGATGATTATTAAATTTAAAATAATTGCATTAACATATTTATCATTTTAAAACTAATTACAACATTTTTTCTGCAAATTACATCAATAAACTTGGTGTCTAATAGTCAAACGATAAATTTCGGGTTGTCATTTCTAAATACATATGTATATCTTCGTATTTTAATTTTATTCTTAATTTTAAATCATTTAATAGTAAAAAATTGAACAAAAATTAATTTTTCTAAATTTGTATCATTAAACAAGGTGAACAATTCCGTTTCCATTGACTATTTATGTTATATTTACTTTTAAAAGGATTTTGAATACTAAATATTTATTTTTATTTTTTATCATCCTATTTAATTTTTAAAAACTGTAATTTTATTTAAAAATTTTATCTTTTAACTACAATGTCATCACTTTACTACATTTATTAGTCTTTTTATACATTTATATAATTGATTTTATTTTTTAATATTACATAACTATTTTATCGCAAAACCTAGAATCAACATTTGTTTATTTTAAGTAATATTGTTATATTTATTATTTGTCTTTCTAACATTTAATAACAGACCAATTAATTTTATATGCTCTTTTAAAAGTTTTGTTCGGATAAACATAAATCCTTGAATGTATGTACTATGTCCTTATTTAATTACTTCCAATTCGTTCATTAACATCTTTTTAATGATAATTTAAAATATTGTTAAGTAATTCTTCTACAACATTATTTTAATTTAAATTTTAAAATATTTTAACTTATTTGTAGTTTTCATTAGTAAAAATATTCTGTAATAATATGTAGTATATTGTGCCTATTTTTATATCAGATATTGAATTTTAAATTTATTAATAAATTTGTTTTTAATTTTCGATGACGTTTATTTTTATTATTTTTTAATAAGAATTGTCGAGTAATCAATAATTAATATTGACAAGTTTATGTGATAGTTGATGTTATTTTTTGTGAGATTTCTGTTCTTTTGTGAGATTTGGGAAAATTGTTTTTGGTTTATTGTAGGGTAGATTAGATAAAGAGTATATCTACATATTTATTTTCATATGATTTAATAATCATCTCAAATAAATTATCTTTAAATATATTTTTTTATTTTTAAAATTTCTCAGAATTTTCACTGGAGCTCTGTTTTTTTATTTTTACTTCCTTTTCAGTGTAAATTTTTTAATTATTATACATCGTACATCTCTGTTAATTTTTATATTAAATTTGCTGTCCATAAATTTATCGATTATTGTTTAGTTTTTTTGACGAACGTGGTCAATACATTAAGCATTAATTAAGTTTTGTTTAAGTTGATAATCATCTTAAACAAATAATATTCAAATTTAGTGCTCTTTTACATGAATAAGCATAAAAAACTTTTGTTTTTCAAACACAAATATTATAAAATTTATATAGGAAATCGATATAAAATACTTTTAAAAAATAAAATAGAATGTGTAGAAAACATCTTATACATATAGAGAACAATAAAATAACTGTACATGTTTTTCATGCGATAATATCTGGTACTATTTAATTTTTTTAAATAATTTTTAAGCTATATAATTTTATAGCTTAATAATTAAACTCTTCTCATTTCTCATTATTTTGTCAGAAAGATTTAATAATTAAATTTATATTTTTATAATTAATATACATTATCTAAATATTTATTTAAGTTATTTATATTATTTTAGTTTATATATTTGTCTCCTTTTCTGCTGCAATCGTTCTTTGTTTGTTCTATTACAAGCCTTGTATTTTAATCTATCTCTAAATATTTGAATTATATTGTAGTAATTTAAAATTAAATTTAAATAATTTTAAAAAATATATTAAATAATTTAATAAATTTAAATATTTTTATTTTTTATAATCAAATTTATTTTTTATAATCAAAATTTTAACTTTTTACTATATAATTCATGAATGAACAAAAGATTTTGATCAATTTTTTTATAAAAAGTATAAGCGACTAATGCATTTTTGAAAGATCTGTTCTTCGCATTATCATTTTTAACACGTATTATTATAACATTATAAATAGCTTTTAATACTAAATATTACTTCTTTGTGGGCTATGTAAACATCTTTTTTAAACATTTATTTTATTGAGGCCAATTTAAATATTTTGCAAAATAGCATTCTGTAGTCGTTTTATAATTTAATTTAAATAATACATTATAATTCACATAAAATTAATTTTAATTCAATTTACTCTATTCAATCAAATAGAATTTTATTAAAAAAATATTTGTTTATTTAAAAAACAATAACAGCGACCAAAAATGTATAATTAGTTTCTTGGTTATAAAGGAAAAACTATACATTAAAAATAGATGAAAAATATAAAAATTTAAAAAAATAACAAATTTTTATTTTACAAAGATAACTGAAATATTTCTTATCATAAAAATCGATTTTTTAAAGTTTACAGTTATACAGTTATATAGTTTACAGTATACCTTGGCCAATTAAACTTGATTATTATCAATAATCAAAATTTATTTAATTAATTTTTACCAAATATAATTTTTTAAATAAATTCTTAAAATAATTTTAATTAAAGAAGACAAATATTTAATACATTAGTATTTTTATGTTTTGAAAATCATAATTTAAGTTAAGTTGGGGAAATTGTATTAATTGCTTTTAATTAATCTATTTTAGATTAATCTCAATTATTTTATTGAGGCGAAGATTTATTTTTCAATACTACATATGTACATAAATATGTCTTCTTAAAAACTTTATATATCTTACTAAACAGCTCTTCTCTTTCGCATTATTTTTCCACAAAATTTAATAATTAATTTATGATTTTTCCAATTATTTATATAACATTATTTTTACAATTAATTTACAATACCTAAATATTTATTTAAGTTATTTATATTATTTTATTCTCATTGCCGTGCTGCAATTGGTCTTTTCTGAGATCCTTTCTAGCTTTACATTTCAATTTATCTTTAAATATTTAAATTATATTGTAGGAATCAAAATGATTTATAACATTTTGTTGATTTATAACATATTATAATAAATATGTATAATACATATGAGTAATTTTAATTAAATACTAAACGAGACCTGGGGGAACGCTCTAACGAGACCTGGGGGAGCGCGGCGGCCTTTCTTTTTAAAACTCTTTCTTTAACAAAGATATTTATTCTTTTGGGGAAGATTGGGATTAAAATTATACGAATGAAAATAGAAAAATCTTGGGTGAGGTAAAAGGTGTTTTGTGAAAGCTGCTCTTTATTGTTGCTATCACAATGTTATTTAAGTTTCCTTTTAAATTTTAAAAATTGATAAATATTTTTATCATTTTCTTCATCCAACTTAAAGGTTTTTGAGTAAAATATGTTTATAATAGTTAATTATCTGACTCCATCCGTTGGGTTCACCCCAGGTCTCAAACGAGACCTGGGGGTTGATTATTTGATATATTATATAATTATTGAATATCATTATATAATTATTTGATTTTTTCAAACATTAATTTTTTGAAAATTAAATTTATTGCTTAATTTTTTTAAATCTAAAAAATTTAATATTAATTTTTATGAGTATATGTATTTTATAAATATTTTTAATTTAAATTTATAATGTAATAGTTATGTAAATGTAGTTTTAAAAAATTAAAATTATAATATTTTGTAGTAATAAATTATTTTTTGAATAAATATTTTTTGGTTATACATATTGATTGGAAAAATGTCCAAAAGTAAGGAGAATTAATGAATGCAGAGGAGTTGGAAAAACTAAACCACAACCCTCATTTATTTACATAGATATTTTGCTGCGATAACATTGAGTACCTAAGGGTTTGCTGTTTTAATACTTAATGTACAGTTATTTACTTTAACATACCGCCAAAAAAGAAAATGAAAATACATATGTATATAAATACATATAATTAAAAAGTATTCAATAGTATATTAACATTTTATTTTTTATGTTATTACCTTTAAAAATTATCTAAAAAATTTAAACTTTAATTTGAACGAGGCAATCAGGGATGAAAAATCTGTCTGTAATGCATAAATGTTAAGCAAGAATGGAGATTTTATAGAGTCGAGTATACAGGGTGCGGCAAAAGTTCCCGTACTTTTATTAAGCATAAAATTTATTTCAAATATTTTCTTGAATTTTATAAAATCCATGAAAAATCGTTTATTAATATCTAAGGAAAATGAAAATTATAACAAATGTTCAAAATGTCCTCCCTCCGCCAAGATATTAGCGTCCAAACGCTTAT